CCGAAGTAATGCGTATAATTAATCGATGTTTCTGCCGCGAAACGACTTTTAGGCGTTTGGTACGAGTGCTAATGTCGCCATTAGTCTCACTGGCATAACATTTGCCGGTTAAAAGGACAACAAGCCGGATCCCGGCTTGATAAACTCCCATAAATTTCGCCGCAGCGACGTGCGTTAACGGCCATTAGAAAATCGTCGTCGAACCGGTTGCGTTACCGTCATTGATACTTACGTTATTCTGTAATCAACCGAGTATCGTGTGTGTGTGTGTGTGTGTGTTATGCAAACGTCGCGTGTTGCACCGCGTTTATTATCGCCCGTTTTCGCATATACAACAGCACAATACAACATCTAATGACAATCTCACTATTTTATAAAGATGAATGAATCTCGTCAGACTTGTCGACGAGAGTCCTCAATCGAAGAGAGAAACATTACGGCAAATTGCTGAATCACACACCGTCGACGAAAAAAAATTTCTCTAAGTGTGTACGCTTGTGAAAAAAAAATTATTTTCGTCTCTCGCGTCTAAACTTTCATCTATTACAATCTAGGCGAAGAGTTGACAGCCTATGATTTGGTTCTTGATATAGCGGCAATTTTCTCCGTTCCTTTATAGAAGGTAGCTATTTCTTCCTTGGTTTCGACTTATCGCGCGATTAATGCGACACGTTAATGATACGCGAATGACGACGAGTTAATACTCCACATAATTGATTCTGAAAATAGCGTTCGGAGAAACGGGTTTTCTCTCTCTTTCTCTCTCTCTCTCTGCACGACACGGCCGCAGCGCGGAACGATAACGCAAACGACGAAGTAAATAAATTCGCGCCGAGCCCTTGCAGTGTGCTATTAGGGACGAGCCACCCATTGGTTGCGTCAAGACGTTTACGTCGTAAAGCCGGCGAAATTATGTCCCGTTAATGCGTCTCTTAATTGCAAACCGCCGCGCATGTTTACCGTCGATGTATCGGTTGCCGATGTCCGAATGCACATTTTTACGTTTCTTAATCCGTGCTCAATAAGCAAATTAACGTAGACGCGAAGATTTCAATAAATCTTCAAAAAAAATCACCGATATCTTTAATAATTTGCGTGAAAAATTTCTGACACTGTTACACTCGTGTGGCGCAATTCTCGATATATGATCCTTCGTGCCGTATTAAAGTTTTATTAATTATTGAGAACGAGCGGTATGCGACGGGCGATGCGACTGGATTCGTTAATCGACGGCGCGACCTGATTAAATATTTGGAAGGAGAGGCGACGTGACGTAAGTGGAAGCTCACGATCGACGTCAACCGGAACGCCCTCGGAATTTGCAATGGGACGCTCATTCGCGATGATTTACCGAGGCATTTCGTTCTTTTTTTTTTTTTTTCACGAAGACCTCGTGGTGTTTTACGTTTTTTTTTTTTTTTTTTTCAAGCGTCGAGGTTTTTAATTCTACTTTATGTTACTCGCGATTGAAATTTGATTTGCGATATTCGACGCGCTTGGTGTGAAGAGTACTTATAATGTACGCGGACTCTTTTTTAATACATAAAACAATTCGAGGACAAAATCGAGATCCGCGGTTATTTATGATAATTAGCAGAAGATAGAACTTTATCACACATATTTAGAAAATTATATTTGTACATACGTACAAACTTCTTCCATTAACATTACAATTGTTTAATGAGATATTTACAGCACAATGAGAGAATACGGTATTTGGCCACCGTAATATCCCTACGGATATTTCCCTCACGTTCGTTTCCAAGCCTTTTTATTTGCATCTAATACACAATACACGGCACGAATTTTCTCCGTAAAACTCGCAGCTGTGCAACCACGTGCGACGCGGCGTGTATGTCACAACTGTAATGCCGCGCGTTATGTCTTCGTCGTGAACACGCGCGACACAACGCTCGACACACCGGGTTATTTAACACCTGGAGGCACGACGCGGCTGAAAAACTCACTCAGTTGTGTCTTACATCATCGAGAAAATTCCTATCGTGACAGTCGCGCGCTCGCTAATTTATCGAGCGGTTCGTATAAATCGTTCCGCTGGAAAAGTGTCACCGCCAGGAAAACGCTGCATTCCGGTCGCGTGTCCATTTCGCAGCGGCCCGTGACCAAGAATTTCGCGTGATGGCGTGCGTTGTGTTACCAGCAATATTACAAACGCAAGAGGGGAAGGTTCCCGATAAATAAATTTCACGTCACGATTATCGAAAGGCCGCCGGAGGGCTTATGCGCACGCAATTGATACACCGAGTGATTTCAACTTTTTTTTTTTTTTTTTTTAAGTGCGAAAACTTTTCGGAGCGTGACGCAGATTGATAAAATTCCACGATGCGTTAAACGCAACTTCTCTCTTTGAACACGAAACTGATCTTACCCAATTGAATGTTTCTCCACACAGAATTGTTTTCCTTCACAGCGCGTCTATAAACCAAAGAAACACGCTTCCTCGGACAATTTGTTTGGTGTGTAAACGTTGAATTTCAAATAGTCGTAACTGATTGTAAATACATAAAAACAAGTGTGTGTGTATATGTGTACACGAAGCGGATCTGGGTCGCTTCTTATGAGCGACCGGTAGAACACGTTCTCGCTGTTAGATTGTGGATCTCCCATAGACACCCTGTATATTTAAGGTGATCCGACTCGCTGATAAAAGAGAGTGATCGATAGCGCGCGGCCAGTTTAACGGCCCGTCTTGGAGAACATTCCGATGTTCGAATTATCGCAAAGCGATTCAAACCGAAGCCGACTCACGAAGTTATCAATAAAGATAGTAATAAATAACTGATAAATGTTGTACGATGTGAAAATTAGCCGCAAGAGGGGCCCGGGTTGATTTCTCTCTCGCAAAATATGACTTAGAGAAAATAATTTAATAGCTAATATAAATTCAAGACGGGCGTGAGAGAAAAAGTCTATTGATAAGAAATATGTTAATAAAGGTCAAAATATTGGCCAAATAAAAACAGATAAAATTACATATTACATAGCTTCCACAAGGAAGTTATCTGCGAAGAGAATCCGGAGAGATATAACACTTTCACGTTTCGCCGCGTACCCCGCGGTAACTATTTATAATTAATTGCCAAGCGGATAAGTTTCTTCAATCATCGCGATACAGAAAAATAACAACGAGATATATAGAATATATCTTCGGTGCTGCCGGGGTCAAGAAACAAACCAAACACCCTCGGCGTCGTAAATCGCAACCTCGATGACTCGATAAGCGCGCGCGCGCGCGCGCATAAAAGCGCGATAAACTGTCGATCTTCCCGATCAACGATCATCGATATACTCCCGATACTAATGACCACTTCCGGCGCGCTCATTGATAAATGATCACATGAGTGGAGGCCACCTCGTGAACGCCAAAGGACACGTTGCATCGGCACGAGATTTGCGACCGCGATACCAAACCGACCCGGCCGCGATCAATACGAAGCGAAAGCGACCGCACACAGAACCGGGCGTCAGCTTGCGCGACACCACCGGATCGATCGATTTCGTCCAGCTTATCGCCCAATCCGATCGATAATGGAGGGAAGTCGCGATCGGCCGGTTGATCGTGTATCCACACGGCGGGCCGATAAATCGTCGGTGACGCCAACGGCGACGTCACTCGGACGGTGTCGAAGAATTGAATCGATCGGCGCGACGGTGCGAGGGCTCGTGTGTGCGCGCGTTACCAGGTCCATTACTTCTGCGTGTTGCAGCATTTTTACAATATAACGGGCACGTGTTAACAGACATCAGCTCTGTTTGTACAGGGAAATCTTGTGCAATTACTTTCTCAATCAATTTTTAACCATTGGTTTTGTTATCTATTGATATTTGTAAAAGTGAAAATATGTAGTTTCTAATTGGACCGATAAAAAAGTGACTCTATGATTTCAATAATGAAGATAACTATGTTGTTATGAAAACTTTAGTTTTGTTGTTTTCGAGATTTCATTTGTATTATGCTGTGAAAACATGAACGGTTGCGCAATTTTTTTGCAAACGAACAATTCTCTCATTATTTCAATGACAAAGAGGCGCGAAAGCCGTGCATTAATTCGACACGCTCTTGCCTATCTCTTCCTTCCAGTTGAACTCGCGCCGGCTCGAAATTTAATGTTTCGAAAGTTTTTGCTCGAGAAGTCGCGTTTCTGTCGGAAAGGTGAAACGCGGCTTGTTTCATAATAAGTAACGCTCCTTCAATTCTGAAGAATTGGGAACTTTAATGCGCGCAATTATCTCTGCTTTCTAACTCGAGCGCTTGCGAGGACAAGATTAGTCCCTTTCGCCGTGTTAACTCGGATAATCCGCCCTTTCCGAGATTTACCTTCATATGAGACTTTCGAATGCTTATAGTCTCAGAAACACAGAACGAAGAAACAATTGCAAGTGCCGAGAAATTTATAAACAAAACTTATTTTCCACTAATAATTTCTATCTTTTTATGTAAATTTTTTTCAACTTCAAAAATATTTATTTAAATATTTTTTATTTTCTCTCATTATATATATGTATATCGCGGCTTTCTCGCGAGGAAAAGTAAGATTTCCCGGCTACGGTAATTGATCTCACGACTTGGTTTCGTTCGGCGTGACTCAGCGTGCGACCGCCGCTGAAAGCGCCTCGAAATCGAGCAATTTTACCTGCGACCTTCTTAACAAAACGACGAACGCCCACCTGAAACTACTTCAGCGCGGCTTCCGAGAATTTCATTCCTACTAATTACTAGATGCGTTTTGTATTCTGCCGCCTTTCGGTTCTTTTCCACGAAATAATGTATCCGTCGAACCAGTCTCTGGTTTCGGCACAGATTCGTAAGAGAAACAACAAACGTACCCTGCGGTGTTTGTTGTTTCGAATTGAAGAACAGAATCTGCGTTGCAAATTAGAGAACGTGTTTTCGCCGACTGCGAGAAACGCAATGCTGAAAATAGCAACGAAAGGAAGTTAAAGTCGCGATTGATTTTTTTTTTTTTTTTTCATTTCAGGTTCGCGATATCGTAGAAGAGTGCACGTGCCCGACGCAGTTCCCCATGATTCACATCGCCGAGGGCAAGTATCGAATCGGCGATACCAAAGTCACAATTTACGTCCGAGTTCTGCGTAGTCACGTGATGGTACGCGTTGGAGGAGGATGGGACACTCTCAGTCACTATTTGGAGAAACACGATCCATGCAGATGCAAAAATTGTAAGTGACATCTCGCTCTTTTGTAATTGTGATTTTACATCAAACTTTTTTTTACAGCACTAGCACAACACAGGCGCGCGCTACGCGCACGTTATTATTGCTTTTATTTTAGCGTGTAGTGTGAGTGAACTTAACCTGTCACCACAATGACAGCTAATATATACGTCCTACAAACAATATAATACACATGATGTACATATGAGAGATGTCAGAAATAACGCATGAAAATCAAGCTCAAAAAATAAAAGAAAAAAGGGAGAATGAAAAAACAACACGTGACTAAAGTCACATGACAGGGACAAGAGTAAAACAAAGAATATTATATATATTATATATAATATTCTATATCTATATATAATACACACACACATACACATATCTATATATATACCATAATCACGTGACTAAAGTCAGTGACCTCGCCGCGGTCGCGCGGCCGAGGTCAGTGATCCCCCCTACCAAGGCCGCGCGCCCGAGGTCAATGCCCCGCCAAGGCCGCGCGGCCGAGGTCAGTGACCCCGCCAAGGCCGCGCGCCCGAGGTCAGTGACCCCGCCAAAGTCGCGCGGCAGAAGTCAGTGACATTACTGTAGTATGTATATAATACATATAATACAATATAAAGTATAATATTATAAATATATAATAAAGTATATGTATATATATAATATGTATTATTTAATGATATATATAATATAAATTACAGTCACGTTATTTTCACGTGTTGTTTTTCTACTCCTGTCACGTGACTTTAGTTACGTTTTTAATTTTCTCTACATATACGACGAACTGTCTCAAAATCGCTTTTCATTATTTACTCTCTCGATCTTACCGATTCGATTCGACTCGATCAACCAACCAACCAATCGGCAACGCGGAAAAGAGGCAACAATAGATGCGACACATTCGGCTCCAAACGCGCACTTCTAATCGTCTGTTTTTGTTGTTTGTTTTTCTAGCTCATCGTTCGATGGTCTCAGCGAAACTCATTCAGAAAGCCGGCGGATCCTTTGATCTGGGCAACGCGCAGGTGCATTACGAACGGTGAATATCTATATTTTTTATTTTAATTTTTTCATAAATGCTTGATCTTGTCGTGGCGAATTTACGGTCTGTACCTTCACACATCGTAACAATTCGCGGGTGTGGAAACGGAAGATATACTTCGTAGTATACTCGGTTGAGCACGACTCGGGTATAACGATCGACATCAATTCCGCAATAACGCTCGTTTCCACCTCCAGATCGTCACCTCCGAGAACCCGGCGAAGTTCCGCGTCGAGCGTCGGCTCGGTGCAGAATCTGCAATCGGCGCAGCTGCACGCACCACCCAGGAACATTTCCAGCAATCGCTCGCGATCGCCCACACCTCATCGACCGACGGCCGGAAGCAAGCAACAACAATCGAGCGAGGAGCGGAAGAAGCGCTCGAGGAGCCCTACGCCGCATAGAAAATTGCTGGCGAGTCCGAATCACCAGGCCGACTTGACGAAGCAGAGATCAAGGTCGCCGACGCCCAGAGCGAATCTGAGATCGCGAAGCCCGACGCCGCGCACTGAGCGAAAGAACACGGATTCAGCGAGAAGAAACGAGGAGGCGCGATCGCCAACGTATTACGGAAGATCGCAGGAAACCGGACGAGTAAGTTATAATTGTCGAAGACCAATAAATACTTAAATTAACGGAAAGATTTCAAGCAAATTCGCGCTTGTTCAATTCATCGACAATTTTTGCTTCAGGATAACGGCCTAAAAGTACCAGGAGAATTTACAAAACGATACATCGTGGAAGGCGGCGTGGCGCGCCGAGCCGTCGAAAAAGATGACACGCCCAAGTACGAACCGTCCATCTACAACTACAAGTGCAGCGAGGACTCGAGCGGCAGTCGCAGCCCGACACCAAGCAAGGAGGAACAACCGGCTATCGACACTTTTGGCAAAGACGCGAACACCCAAAAGTCGCCGCACGCCGAGGGGGAGCATTCGGACAATTGCAGCGAGGTGTCCGATGAGGGATATCGAAGTCTCGGGGCTGTCCAATCGTCCACCACCAACGGAAACTCCAACAGCACGCAGGGCTCGCCCACGGTTGCCGATTGTAAAAGTAAGTATATAGTACATGCCTACATTCTACATCGAGTTTAAACGAGTACCAGAGTGTCCTACATATATCGTGAATACTGTTGCCGACACAAATAACATCAACTATCGAATGTCGTTAAAGAAACGAGGATATGCTCGTTTGGTTGGCACAGCCGAGCAAGATCACTATCCTCTTAAATTTCCGTGACGCGGAACTAAATTGTCTATTGATAAGATCGCGATCTCCTTCGCAAAGATTGATAAAAAAAAAAGATCCACTATAAATATCGGTTTCTGTCTGTAAATATGGCGACGCGCCAATCGAATTCGAACGTCTGCGCGTTCGGACGCGCGCGTTCTTCGTCATTGGCGAGCGAGTCATCGAATTTAATAAGAGGAGAGACAAGAGCGCGCGGGGAGACGAGAACGTACGTCGTGCACGACGAACAAACGCGTATTGTGCGGCGAACGGCCGAGGCGATGTCGCGTGTCGAGGCTCCGGGACGAGAAAAAAAAAAAAAAAAAAAAAACTCGTTCCGATGCGAATCGAGAGATTAAATTCGATCACACAGCGACGAGAACGAGAGGAACGCGTCTCGTGCGTTTTGTGCGCGCGAAAATAGAGAGACCGAGAGATCGGAATTATTTAATACTCTACCGCGTGGCGCGTTTATCTGCGCCTGTCGATCTCGCGAGTATCGACAACGATGAATTAATTCGCTCGTTGAGACGGCGCTTTGTGCGACGGCTAGATATAAAGGCGATAAATTTTCTCTGTTCGAGAGAGCAAAGAAAAAGATAATAGAGAAAGTTGGTGTGAAAAAATACAAGATGATTAGAACAGAAATGCAAATGGGAGAAAAATCAAAATATCTTGCAAGTCGAGTGAGTTTTTGCGAAGTGTCTGCTTCTTAAAATGTCAAGTTGTTTTATACCTAAAAGTAAAATGCCACATAATTGTACAAGGATATAGCTAGCTGTTTCTATATTTATATTTCTTGTTTGTTCAATTATTTTATCTTTCCCATAACCTTTGCTACAACCATTTATAAATATCACGCACCTTAATGCGCATTTATTTAAAGCACAAAGAAGGTCAAGAGAAGATTTCATTAGATAAGACCACATGACAAAGTAATTCAAATATAATATCCCGATGTTATGTGCATGGTATTTTCTCACGTGATTTAAATTAGGATTTTCAATACCTCCGTTAAATCCGAGGAAATAATTTCGCAACAACTTGAAGATCCGAAAACCACGTTAAATTCTTTACGTTTAGAAGAGCGCAACGAGTTTGTTAAAGAGCAATCTTACGATCCTTTCATCCTTGCGATGAAAGTCTAGTTTGCATCTCTCTAGCCTGGTCGAACTGTCGCATAAATCCCGTTCGATTTACATACAATGTGCACAAATTATTAAGAATTTATACAAATCTACGCACACACGCGCGCCTTCGCCGCTCGAGTGTCTCGCATTAATTGCGCGACGTTGATCGTGGGATCGGCCCGGGATCGATTATCGATTCATCGAGACCGTTCTCGTCGTTCAAATGCGACAAAGAGATTTTCGATGCGGTAGCCCGCGCGCGTTCGTGCAAATTCTCCCCCGACTAATCGACATTTTGGACCACCCTCTTCGTCGACTATTAATAATTCAAAGTACACGCAGTCCGCGTGCGTTATATAAAATTGCGCTCCGCGCATGGGCCGGGCTGACATTTAGCCCGCGACTTGCAGCCGCGCGATTATGCGAAGGATCGCTCCCGAGCGTGGGCGATCTCCAACAACCTGTCCTCGGAACAATCGCCGCCAGTCGATCCTCGATAACACTCGTCGCACGCTCTCGCCTTGAACATACTCTCGCGCGTACTTACTCTCGGGGAGTATTTGACTCACTTGACGCATTGCCGCGAGTGGAAAAAGTTGCCGGTGGCCACAACGCTCGCGCCGCGCGAGCCACTTCGATCGGTCTATATAACTTTTGCTCGTAGCGAAACGGTTGCATTCTTGGTTTAACCCGGTAACATTTTTCACTCGGTGCGACGCGGAAATAACAACTTTTTTTCTTTCTAGAGAGAGAAACTAGACTTAACTCGACAACCCGTTTGCTCGAGTTAAGAAGTAACTGAGGATATATGTCACACGTAATATACACGTCTGTGTTTGTCATTGCTTTTTAAATTTCTTATTCGATTTTTGTTCGTTTAATTTACATGTTTATCTTCGTGAAGAATAATTGTCGGTTAAATTAATTATTCGCGCCCGTCTTGTTTGTTTCCGACAAAATGTCGAGATTATTATAGCTTAAGCTTTATTTTATTAAGATTTACGCGAAACCATCGCGGGCGTTCTCTGATACGTGACTCATTCATTTACATCGATATCTTTAATTTATGCGATGGCGCTAGAACGCGCGCGACGAAATATGCGCGCAATGCGCTCGTCAACACGTTCGCGATAATCGCGCGTTTCGATTTCGAAGGATGATGATCCGCGTCCAATCAGGCGATAAAATTTCTCTTCGCGTCACTCGGAAGAGTAAAAACAGAATTACGTCGCGCGCGATTAAGATCCGCGTCGGGTGACAACCGTGAAAGTGCATTAAGACCGTGGCGACCGAATCTTTCTTCGAACGCTTAAACACCGAGCTGATGAGACACTGTAGGAGGGAATTGAATCTGGCAGCGCGGTGCGCAATGTTTTTTGAACAGCGTAACAAATTGCGCGATTTCACTGGATTCTTTCCAGCGCTTCCGAGAGTATATTATTTGGTAATAATCAACGTAACACACACGGTAGTTCCATTGCGATGGTTTTCGCGAAAGGAGACTAATCCCGTTCGTTTCGCTTCTGCAAAAATAAAATCATCGATCTAATGATAAATGCGAAAAAAAAAAGGCTCAGAATTACATATAGATGAAGAAAAACGATAATATTCTCGTTACGAACCATAAACATTGCAAATTACGTGTACTCACATTTCTTACGCTATATAAAACGCCTTGCGCGATATCGAACCCAATATTAAGTGCGTTTAGTACGCGCGTCAACGCGCAAGTTTACCCGCAACAAATTCAATTCGTTATTCATTTGCGTAATTTTAATAACAAGTTCCAAGGACTCGTTAAATCGATGACGGCTGAATCCGGTTTGACCAGCAGCGTGTTACTAGGACGAGATCTCGAAATAGATTTTCGATTCCCGGATTTTAATTACTAGTTGCGCGAGTATATGTCTCTGCCGTAACTCCAGCAATCTCGAACCGGACGCGTTAATATTTATGCGACATTTTTTTCTACGTACACGTTCGAGTCTTATCGGGACGCGCTAAAAAAAAAAAATGCAACGCGCTATCGTGAACCCGATCGATTCTTCGAAGCTGACAAGGGTTAGCATTCAACGTGATCGGCGAGCCGTATTACGAGAATTTATTATTATTTTTTTTTTTTTTTTTTCAAGAGTCAGAGAGTGAAGAGGGTCTCCGACTGAGTGTCGTTTTCTCATTTACGTTTGTAAATTCCCGACGGAGAATACGCGAATGTCCATTCTCTCGCGCGTCTGGCATCGATACACGAATTTAAAAATCTAATTTCTCCTCTTCCGCGAATAATGGACTTTCTCTGTAGTTTTAGTGCACGTGGGTGCGTGCAAAATGCGCGAAAACAAAATGTGGGACGACGTCATGCAACGCAGTGACATCAAGCTAATCGAAAAGTCGATATTTTCATTACGAGTTTGTATAGCAACTTGTGCACAGCAACGTATTTAGAAGTTTTAAAACCAGAGAACGAGGATATATGTATTGGATTTTAATGTCAAATTCTCTCTTGCATAAAAACAACCGCAACATCTCCAAAATATTTAATTTTCACGATTTTAACGCGATTTTAATCGATTTAAATTGTAAATTTTATATGATGCGAAGAATAATTTTATTTATGCTGGTATAATTGATAAATATTCTATTTAAAAGTGTCTTGATAAAAATAAAAAAAAAAAACCAAAGACTTGATCGTACGTCAGAGCTCGTTCTTTCACCTCGCCTACGCTAAATGTGCTAAGCGCCGCGGTGGAACCGACCGATTCAGTGATCGTCGATTTTTTTTTTTTCCCCCCCCCCGATTTTAAGTCACACGTGTTTGCGAAAGTTGACTTGCGGTTGCGGTAAAAAAAGAAAAAAAAAGAAAAAAAAAGAATTGGCCCGACTTCAAATATTACTCGTGGTCGAAAACGTCTCCGCATCAACATGTTAATGGGCCATCACGCGGAAATGACGAGATTGAAACGATAACGACTCGTAAAACAATTCGCTTATGTAATCTCGGTGGTTTCTAGTTGTCGGAAATGACAGGAACGGACGCGCCGTCGTATGATGTTTCCACAAATGCTGTCCCGCACTTGTGGTTAATTTGATGAGCTACCTTATTTTCATAAATATTCAACAATCACAACTGATTCTTTTATTCGGATTCGGTGTAAACGCGCGTCTTTCTTCTTGTTCTCTTTTTTTAGAGCAACCTTCAAAGACAGAGCCCGAGGAACGATCTGGCGTGGAGACCGACAGCATCGAGACCGGATTGCGCAAGGTAGTACGAAAGGACAGACTGGCGAGTCCTCTACGAGTTTCCTCCCCATCCCGGAGCGTGGCGTCTTCAACGGGAGAGCGGACTCCTCGTGCCTCTTCCGTTGTGCGAGAAAACAGTAATCTATCGAAAGCGTCGTCCGGCAGCAAGACGCCCAAGGACAGCAGTCCGGAAGGCAGTCCGCTGAGCCGAGGAAATTCAGCGATTCGCAAGAGCAACACGACTTATGGAACTCTGCGAAAATCAATGGCGACCGGGAGTCTCAGCAAGGCATCGTCGCCAATACCTTTGTCCAGGCCTTCCAAATCGTCCGTCAGTGGCAGCGCCACGTGGAACGGTCGTCAGACCAGACGGCGTGCCAGCATTCAGACGGACACATTTCTAGATCCAAAGTCAACGCCGGCCACGTGCGCTACGACGCCAAGTTTCTCACGCAAGAGTCCGGGTAGGCAGAGTTTGCAGTCCCGACCGAATGGCATTCAATACGATAGAAACGGCAGAAGGATTCGAGCGCCCATTGCGGATACCGGTTCCCTCCAGTCGTCGCCCACCAAAGTGACAAATCCGCTACTCGATCAGATCTTGCAGAAGTTGGGCGATTTGAAAGACGAGCGCGAAATGGTACAGAAATTGCAAGGCCTTCTGAAAGATTACCAGACCGGCACGAGCGATGACGACGCCGCGAACATGGACCTGGCCAAGGTGTGGGTGGACAGTAACGGAGCTATGACTGTGCCTCAAGATGTTCAGGTATCGGTCACACCCAGGAAGGATCCGAAACCGCAGGAAGGATGTTCAAGGATACCGGTGCCCCGCGCCGTCTCCTACAAGAGACCCATGTCTGTGGCGTCAGACAGTATTTGAAGATGATTCTTCCCCTCGGGCTGAGTCTCGACGACGATCGAGGTGTGTGTAGATCCAGTATGTAGTCTTCATGTATCAAGGCTAACTTAGACTGACCGGAGGGTCAGCGCTGAGGTCAAACAGACGTGTAATCACATCTTTTGCCGCGCTTGGGATTCTGATTCGATTTTAGATAGATCGGACGTCTTATGATCATAATGAAATAAAAATTTGACGAGTTCAAATAATCGCGTGAATGTTTGCAAATTTTCGAATCTCATTGCGTCGTAAATATATTATTAATAAATAAGCTTTGTCTCGTTTAAATATTTGTTTTATTGTCGACTTTATCGTAACTATATACACAAATAGCTCGACATTCATTGCTTTCTATTTCTACTCGCCTACGCCTTCAAACAACCGTCATCGTGTAGATCGAAGACGTCCGACTCGGAGAGTAACTTAACGGGCCTTAACGGTACGGGGTCAATCAGTTAGTAGCTCTTAGTAGTCACGTATCGGGGTGGTGCTTAGATGGTGCTGAAAAACGAGATAACATTTACTACAGAGAGCGAAGAAAGAAGAAAGAGAGAGAGAGAGAACGTGAATAGAATAGAAAATTTGTATCCTCTCTGTTTTTAATTATTTGACGCGATATCAAAAGTGGACAATTGGCGGCGAGTCTCTCTAATAGAAAACATCTCATCTACAAAGATTTTTAATATTTTACACTTCTTTTTTTCTTAAAATAAAACTTTGAAATCTGAAATCCATTATTTTGATGAGTTTAATTGTCTAGTGCTAAATCATAAATTTTCCACGAATCTTAATCAAAATAAATTCATTACGAAAAACATCTACGATAAATTATTTATTATACAATATTATCTATTTCTCTTAAAGTTGCATCTTATTAAAGATGATTTATTTACGACCTCGCTTCGAGAGAAAGAGAGAGAGAGAGAGAGAAAGAAAATGAAAGGGAACGGCAAACGTAGAGAATTTTGATTAGACATTGAGGATTGAGCAAGAACGAAAGGATCCCACTCAGATCTGTAAAAAAAAAAAAAAGAAAATTAAACCAACTCCCCTTCCCCCGCCAAAACAATATACAAAACAGACTGCATTATGTAGATAGATGACACGTGTCGTCAAACAAATGCCATTCCAGTGTTTAACTGTTTTTTATACCAAACGCGAGAGTAGCGCCAATTTTTGTACCAAGTGTCTTAGTAACGAAATAAGGCGGAGAGAAGAGAAATTTATTTTGTCGAAACGGAAAGAAGAATATTTTCTAGTATCGTGTGATGTACAACATACGATCACACGTGTGCGCAACGGTCGCGAGTAGAAAAATTATTTCCGATATTCGCGAAAACTGATAATGCTATCGATTCTTTTCTCCGTTCGTTTTTCTATCCGTCGTCGGGGAGCTTTCGAAAAAAAAAAAAAAACGTCTTCTTTAATCGTTCGCTATAGACATACATACGTTATACGTCGATCACATAGAAAATACCCGAGAGTCGAGGCGAATCTCTCCGATATAGCGGGGATTAGCCGCGATGGACTCGGGCCGTCTTGCCTTATCCGGAATTCGAACGATTTCCTGTGTCTCATCAATGACCTCTCTCGTATTTTCTACACACTCATACATACGTTGCCTGTAAATAATTTTTCGCGAGCAATATTTCAAAACAAAAACAAAAAAAGAGAAAACATCCTTTCCTCGGTATTATTTTACAGTTAAAATTCAATTGATCTCTAGTCTATGGCGGCCATGATGTGTATCGCTCAGTTCGCTTCGAAAGGATTCGCGATGATGTTTTAAATAGATTTATATCCGTACGCATATAAACCAGGATGGTTTTGAGAAAATTCCGGGCCTGGAATTCGGTGCTGCAGGGCGTTCATCATTTGTAAATAAAATGAATACGTTGTTAGAAAAACATATCTTCGTTTTTACTGTGTAAAATTTTTTAATAAGTTAAGCTAATAAGTTGACTTAACCCTTTTCGCTAATCATCGTCGCGATTAACACGGGTTATTTGTTACGCCTCGTTAGTTTACCAATAAGATATGTATTTTTATATTTCAAGTTCTCGTCGTTATACATATAGGAGGACATTATATAGTATAGCGTTTCTCGAAGACTATGACAATGAAAGTAATCAATGTTACGTGAACAAATGTTTATCTCACTTTGTCTGACGCAAGAGCGAGAATTTTTCTCACTTCCTTCGGGAACAATTTCATATTCAGGGGAATAAAAAATATCTCAAAATATTATTGAACAAACACACGCGAAGCAACAATAAAAAAAAAAAAAAAAAAAAAAACAATTGTTCACGTATTGAAAAATGGATGGTAATGCAGCGCGTCATAGTAAAATTGCGAATATCCACATATTTGATAAAAAAAAAAAAAAAAAAAAAAAAAAAANGGGGAATAAAAAATATCTCAAAATATTATTGAACAAACACACGCGAAGCAACAATAAAAAAAAAAAAAAAAAAAAAAACAATTGTTCACGTATTGGGTGATTAAGGATAAGGATAAAAAAAAAAAAAAAACAGACAATCTCATAGTTTGCGATAAAAAAAAAAAAAAAAAAAAAAAGAAAAAAAACCGATCGTTCTCCTCGTGTTCTTGCAAAACTTGCGTTCAGCTTTTCTTCAACGAGCACACAGAATCATACCACAGAACGATCCTAATAGCAAAAGTTAAGAAAGAGATTAGTTTCTTTCGCTCTCGAAATTATCGCACGATAATTTCGAGATTACATGTCGCTAATCTTTAAACCTTCTAAGCTTTTGTAATCCCCAACGATATATCACGGCCGTGCGTTAATGATTAAGCAATACCGACATATTAATATTATTATTGCAACTATTGCTACGAAGATCACGATGATTACTATTATTATTATTATTATTATTACGATTATTATCGTCTGAAAGATAATAAAGATTAATTGCTACAATTATTATACGCAATGTTGCCTATGTTACGTTATCATTTTATCTACGACAAGTTGTAAATTGACCAAAAAACATTATAAAAAGATTAATAAAAGGCCTTAACAAAAAAAAAATCATCGATTGTGTTGTTGTTTATTTCAATTTCCCGTCACTTCACAAATTTTTCTTGAACCTTTGTTCAAAATAATTAAGTATGTTAAATATCAAAACACACGCAGAAAACTTCGTCGTATATTTTCCGGGTTTTTTTCCACGCGATGACGCCGAGAAAATACGCGGTGCCCGTTATGAGGTCCGGTACCACACGAACGAGCGACCTTGCCGCGTATATGGCGAGACGGCGGTTCTCCTCAAGAGTACCAACAACAACAACAACACACACTCGTAACTAACACTAGTGTGCAATATGTGAGTGCGTGCCTCTCCTCAGACTCGTACAAATCTCGGACGGAGACCATTTTTGAAACGTCCAGCCGTCGCGCGCGAGATTTACGATCGGCCGTAGTAGTAGCCTCGATAATAACAGCGACGATTGTGCCAGAGTTTATATAAGCATTAGCATAGAAGTGTCGCGCACAATCATGCGTATTATCCAATGAGAGGATTCCTCTCCTCATCATTTCTACAAATGATTCCCAAGTCAAATTTTGAAACTAAGAGAATTGTGTGTCGAATATAACGCGAAGGAAAACCCAATATGACTTGTCAACACGCGCGAGTTCAACAATCGTCTCTTTTCCTCACGATCAAAGTCTTTGGTATTCGGTATTCGTGTTTTTTGCTTTTGGTCGTAATAACGTCGCGCGGTGAAAGTACTCCCACGCTCCCACGCCGATGACCTTACCTCATCCGAATTTGCGCCACGATTTTATTGCCGACGAACACGCGGATTGCGTATAAATAGAACGCGCCGTTCACGTGCGCGCATCCCGACGCTAAAGGAGAATTATTTACGCGACGACGCGTGTAAGCAAATCTTAATTCTCTTAACAAGAAAGTATAGCCCGTGTATTCCTCGCGCACGCCTCATATCCATACACACGCGCACTTTGCATAAAAATAAAAAAATTTGAAAAAAAGAACGTCCTCGTCCTAGCATTAAGAAAAATAATTTTTCTTATAATATTGTACAAGATATGTGCGATAAAAAATTATAGATGTTTAAAATTTGGAGAAAAAAAAGAAACTTGGCAAGGACTTGCTACTTAATTTGCTGTTAAATATACAAATTAAATTTAAACGAGATAGCGCGCGAACAAAATAAATTTATCTCTATTCTATCTATACAGAGATAAGATTGCGAATAATATTTATGCAAATGCAAGCGGTGCGTTTAGTGGCAATATACAATATAAACGTAACAAGTACACATCTGGATACGGATATGCTAAATATGTGATGCTGTCTGAATTGATTTGTCACGCCGCATCTTATTGTGCCATCTGTGCGGCAAAGGACACGAACGTAATGCGTAGTCCACGAAGCCGCTAATGACGCGTATGACCGCTGTCTCTCGTCGCGTTAAATTTATACGATTAGTTATCCGATAAATAATTGGACGTGGGCGGAACAGGTAGACTTAAAGTACGAGCGACGCATATTAATGTTGCGACTTTGAATATTTTACGTAACGGACCGGGCATCCGTTGAGAATCCGAACACTTGCGATTTCGGTAAATGACATAATCGAAGGTGACTATGTGTCTGTCGGTATCTTTTAGCTCATCGACGAGTCGCTCTTTTGTTTATTCAATAAAAGTTTTCGTTTTGACTTACGTAACGCGCTGTGAATGATGAGACGATTAAAAAATTATCTGCACAGAATCATCCACATCTATAATTTATATAATCGATCTATCGCTTCGTTACCGCAGAAATCTACGAGTCATGATTCAGAGAAACGACACCTTAATTTTAGACCCGAAGTCTGAGATTCTCGGAACTTTTCTTCTGCATATATTTTATATAAATCTTATAAAAGGATATTCTTTTTCTTATTTGAAAAACAAATAATAAAGATTAAAAAAAACGATAAAATTTTGAAATATAGCACAGATCTTCGTAATTCTTAATTTTACAAGAGAGTCGGTGATTCTCGTTAAAACGAGAGATAGAAATTGGAAAGCGCGAGATTAGAAAAGTTCACAAGTCTCTCAATGATGTTTATTTTGCGTTTGCATGAAACTTCATTAAGAAGTGAAATCTCCGCGCCTAAGTAGCCGATCGTACATTCATCAAATTTGATAGGAAAGGCGTTTCGAACGCGGTAATAGTTCACAAGAAGAATCTAAAAGACCGGCGGCAATCCGGTCGAAAATCGTTAGAGCCACACGCAAACTTCAATCGGTTTGATATCCCTTCCGGCCCGATTTCGAAAGTCGGAATTTTATTTCGCACACGAGCGATTATTATAGATTTTTTTTTTCCCCTCGATCAAAACCGCAGAATTGAGAGAATTCGATATTCTTATCGATTCGAATAATGAGATTTGGACGAAAGTAACGGAAAGTAACGGAAATTGATCAAGCGTATATGGCAGCCGTCATCTTTTTGCGAACCGTCTCTGCCCGCGCAATGTATACACGGAAGCTTCATTATCTTACGCGCGTTTTCCTATTTATCTATCCACGACGGCGAGATTACGCGATTACGCAGCGAATAACATTAAGATCTTCATCATTCGCCGACTAATCGAATCCAATAGACAACGGCTGCTTTCCGAGACGCTTTTGCCCGGAGTGATTCTCGGCTGGCCTCGTGGGCGGCACGCAGGTGCCTCCGGGTTCTGCCGGAGAGTGCGTAGGTACTATCTTACGCCCACCTGATGCCTGGTGCTCACCACGGTCCAGTAACGACTGGATATACCGGCTCAAACACGCTCAAGTTCCTTCTCGCTCGCTTTCTTGCCACTTTAAACGCTGGAACTTGTCAATATAATATCCCAAAGCAAATGTAAGCGAGTCGAGGCGATTGCACAGTGCCGATAAAAAAAATAAAAAAAAAAAAAATGTGCGTGTTGTCAAACACGCGGCGGCTCGCTAATTACCAGCGAAAACGAAATTTGTATTCCCGGCAAAACATTTGCGGCGATTTCTTGCAAAATTGCGCAAACAACACGTGTTTCGCGAAAATGGATCTCCACTTAGTACCTGACCCTCCTTACTTTGCGAATTTATTCCTTACGCGATGTTTACGAGCCACTTCGTCTCGTCTCGTACCGCAGTTAAGAATCATGGCTTCGGAAACGAGAAAACAAGCGAAACAGTTTCTCGCGCAGCTCTTACGCTCGCGCATGAAATTCACGCTTGAAATTACATAAAAGAAACTCGTAAAATATGTCTCGAAAAGTTATTAGGGAAAGATACTTCAGATCATTTTCAACAAAGATGATCAAAATAACACCATCGTTCTTTTTGTAAACAATCAAATTGTATATAAATTCTCAAAAATGTAAAAGAATTTAAAATTATCATAAA